ACCGGGCGCGTGGAGAACGCGGCAGGCGCGCCGGCGAGAGGGTGGAAATTCTTCGCGCAAAAAAACCGGGCGGCAAAAAGGCCCGGTTAGAACCACGCGCCCCTCAGGAGCTAAGGTAGAGTGTTGGGTGTCAAGACACCGGCGTCGGCGACTCACTCCCCAGAGGGTTGAGCTGCTCAACGAAGGTGAAGCCATCCGGATCTGCACAGCTCGCCCTCCGGACGCGCAGCTCCCCGCGATGGTCCCCTAGCCACCGCCGCCTCAACATCTCCAGCAAGTAGTGAAAGGTCCGCCACAGCCTCCAGCCTCCACCTCCACCCGCGAGCCGCCACCGCTGCCGCCCGCGACGCCGCCCGCCGCGTCAGATAGCCGCGACGCGCGCATCGAGTCGCGTCGGAGAGCCGCGCCGCACCAGCAGCAGCATCTGCACCACCAGCAGCAGCAGCAGCACCACCACCACCACCCGAGAGAGAAGCGCACCTGCCCGACGCCGCCCGCCGCGTCAGACGCTCGCGACGCGCGCGTCGAGCCCAGTCGCACAGCCGCGCCGCGCCAGCAGCAGCATCGGCACCAGCAGCAGCAGCACCACCACCACCAGCAGCAACAGAGACATGCAGTGCAGGCGCAGAGGCGCTCGCAGAGCGGCGCTCAGCGCCGCGCACGCCACGCTGCGGACCGTCGGACGAGCGCACCGTACGTCGGCGGCGAGCCGCGTCGCCAGCCGTCTCGCGAGAGAGCGGCGCCGCCGCGTGCGCGCAGCAGCCGCCGCGGCAGAGGCGAGCCGCGGCGACGTCCGCACTAACGGATAACGGCCATTGGCGGTTTCTCTCTCTCTCTCTCTCTCGACACCGGCGTCGGCGACTCACTCCCCAGAGGGTTGAGCTGCTCAACGAAGGTGAAGCCATCCGGATCTGCACAGCTCGCCCTCCGGACGCGCAGCTCCCCGCGATGGTCCCCTAGCCACCGCCGCCTCAACATCTCCAGCAAGTAGTGAAAGGTCCGCCACAGCCTCCAGCCTCCACCTCCACCCGCGAGCCGCCACCGCTGCCGCCCGCGACGCCGCCCGCCGCGTCAGATAGCCGCGACGCGCGCATCGAGTCGCGTCGGAGAGCCGCGCCGCACCAGCAGCAGCATCTGCACCACCAGCAGCAGCAGCAGCAGCACCACCACCACCCGAGAGAGAAGCGCACCTGCCCGACGCCGCCCGCCGCGTCAGACGCTCGCGACGCGCGCGTCGAGCCCAGTCGCACAGCCGCGCCGCGCCAGCAGCAGCATCGGCACCAGCAGCAGCAGCACCACCACCACCAGCAGCAACAGAGACATGCAGTGCAGGCGCAGAGGCGCTCGCAGAGCGGCGCTCAGCGCCGCGCACGCCACGCTGCGGACCGTCTCTCTCTCTCTCTCTCTCTCTCTCTCTCGAGTTCGCCGTCGAGGGGACATGGACGTGTCCATCGATCGCCGCCACGATCCCCTGACCGATTCGAGGCACGTGCTGGCTCTGTGCTGGCGATGCACAGGTTGCTCTTCTACGCTCTCGCTGCCATGAACGGCGGTCCCTTCTCGTCCGACCCAGTGGTGCAAGAAGACTACATCTCACCTCTTCCCGATGCTCTGCGTTGCAGCCTCATGGCCGTCCACGCATCCGGCCGATCGAAGCACAGCGCCAGCCCGTGGCGCCCTGAGATGGACGCTTACGTGCTATTACGCCATGTCCGCGACAAAATCTCATTGCCCAAGGTGGCACAGCAGTGGCCATTTCCACCAGCTGCAAAAAAGTCGCGTGCAGTTCAGCTTCGGTGGCATAATGTGCTGAAAGGTCTCGCCGGTATCGACGAGCTTTCCTTACTGATGTGCGGAAGGTGCGAGGAGCAAGAAATGAGCGAGACGCAGCTGAACAGCACCGAGGTAAGCCTGCAGCCGTGGGTCGAGGACGCTCTCGTGCAGCTTCACGCGCGAAAAAACGTGCCGGTGAACTCAAAGTTCACTCCGTGGACTCTCGACGAGGACCGCCTCCTGTTGCACTCGTACCAGAACGGCGCGAAGATCAACGAGATCCGAGTCGGTGCCCGCAGCTACAAGTCCATCGAATGCCAGCTACGCCGCCTTCAGAACGTCACGCCACTGGTTCGCGACGCGCATCACAAGAGCCGCTGCGACCCTGAGGCGCCGTTTCAGTACCTGCAGCACGATATCTGGACGCCGATCGACTCGACCCTCGCTCTACCGCCGTGCGCGCAGATCGATTGGATTCGCGGCGTCGCAAAGGTGCCTCCCTGACCCTGTTCGCCTGCACGCGCGCGTGATCATACGGCTATCTCCAACGACTAGTGAATCCATACCCTCCCAAACACTTATCTCCTCCGTCATTCATCACCCAATGATATCGGACCCTGAGCTCTCCGGTTTCCATCCATTCGAAGACCGGCGCCTCACCTTGTGTGGGTGCGACCCATCGCCTGCCCTGCCCGTCATCATTCATGCATGTCCATGCATTTCCAGGCAGCTCGCTCGTCCGCACGCATTCCTGCCAATCTATTGGGCGAGGGCGATTGAGAACGGCGCCTCGGAGGGTGGCTAGCCACGCCTCTGGCAGGCTTTCAATTAATCGGCTGTATTCGTGTTGGTCGCAGGGCGGGTTTGGGTGGCAGCTTCTCCTAAACTCGCGCCAGGCCATTGGCAGGCCGTCCCCGCCAAGGAGGTGCACTACGTGTGTTACCCCGACCTCTGCGAATCGCACCGATCGCTCGTAGACCTCCCGTGCGTCTTCCTCTCTTTCATTGGTCCACCGGCAGAGTTTGGGTTTCGGTTTTTTGTCTCTCGCCAGTCGCTCCCAGTCCGGGCTGTCGAGTACCGCTGCGCCCCACCAGCCCGACAGGTGTGGGTTGTAGAATAGCGGCTCCATTAACACGCGCCCGATCGACCAAAGCCCCCCCACTCGCACTGTCCTCGGTACGCCCGCCCTTGCCTGTCGGTACGTGACTTCAGGCGTGTGGTCTTTCTGTGCGGCGTCGTCACCATCGTACGGTACTAGTCCTCTCAGAGTGCCATGCGTCTTGAGTGCGATGCGCCAGTAGGCGGGCATCGTCTCGGGGAGATTGAGAAAATCGCACGAGGAGTGGAAGAGTCGTCGCCCCATGCGGAGGTGCCCGTATGCTTGATTGACGTAGGATGCCACTATATTCACGCCTTTGTGTGACGACGGCGTGACCAGGCGGCTCACGTGGCGCTGGTATAAGCTGCGTGTGAATATCTCGATGTCCTGGCAGTGTTGTCCGCCCTCGGGGCGCTCTTGGATGAGCGTCTCGCGTTTTACCGCGTGACGGCGTGCCTGGTGCAGGCCCTCCGCATTTGCCGGCGCCTCAAAGAAATTCCACGCGTACCGCTGCCATTTCTCGAGCATTTGGGGTAGGTTGGGCGGCGTCTGCGACTGCACTAGGTACCACGCACAGGACTGCACGTGGTTCTTGATGATTATATTTCGGCCCCGTCTTGAGCGAGGCATGCCTCTTCCCACCCATCGCTCATACCGCTTCTCCATCTTCGCCGTCACAGTCTCCTCCCATTTGCGGGCTATCCTCTCTGGGGCGCCGAGGAAAATGCCGAGATATCGGATGAGCGGGCTCGTTGTGTTGATGTCGCGTCCCTCCTCCCACCCCTGCGGCAGGACGGTCGAGTCCCGGAGCGACCCGACCCTCATGCCAAAAGTCTTAGACCATGAGTTCAGCGCGCCCGACCCGTCCTCGTAGATATTTAGCAGTCGTTTGAATTCATTGAGCTGGCCGGTGTTTCGTAGGAATATGATCAAATCGTCGGCGAACCCTAGCACTTTTAGGGTGTGGCGCAGTTGGTCGTCGCCTCCCGTCCCGGGAATTTCCACTCCCTGGAGAGTGTCGGTTGTGCTGATGAGGGAGAGGAAGCTCTGTATCACCAAGAGGTACAGAATGGGGGATAGCGGGCCTCCTTGTGACACTCCGTTTGTCGGTCTGAACGCCCCTCCAATGTGCGAGTTGACCTTGACTTTGTACTCGCTGTTCTCGTATAGTATTTCTGCCTCTGACGGCCCGATACGCCACCCGAAGCGCCACAGGTCCACGCACGCGGGGCTGCGCGACTCTCTCGCGGCCCACCGCCCTCCCGCACGCCGTTCGACCTCCACACAGGCGCTCGCTCGAGCCTCGCCGTCCGGGCGGTCCTGCGCGTCCAGATCTCGGCGACCATGACCCGCCACGCGCCAGCTCTGCACCTCTCCCGCGCGCGCCCGGCTGCTGGCATGGCGAGGCGGGCGAGGCTGGCGCGCTGCGACCGGTGGAGCGCCGCGCGGGCAGCGCACCAGCCTCGCACGCACCTCTCCACTGCGCCGCGTGCGCCGCTGGCAGTGTGCTGCGAGGCTCAACATGATGTGGTCACAGGGTAGTCGGGGTGTGGCTTGTGGTGGCTTGTGGTGCTGATCGCTGGCTCAACTCACACCCCGGGTCGAGATCGCGTGTCGAGACTGTGACGAGAGGCGACGCGCCGCGACCCGCGTCACATGGACATGGACATGGACATGGACATAGACACGGATCTCGGGCTTCCGGTCCGCCCCGCGTCGGAGGTCGCGCTGCGTGTGTTTCTTTTTTCGTCTTCTCACAAAACGCGAGCGCACGTGTCCACGTTTCCGAAGAACGGCAATGCCAGTCACGGGACTGTCCCACCCCCGCCCACAGTGGAACGTTTTGGTGTGAAGTCTGCGGTCGTCCCCTCGCCTTTCGGTTTCGCACTACCACCCATCCGCCATCGAGCCTTGGCTCGAGGACGCGTTCTCGTCGTTCTCGTCGTTCTCGGCGTCGGCCTCCTCCGTCTTGCGCGCCGCCGCCTCCGTCTTCAGCGTCTTGCGGCATTTTTGGACCAGCCTGCGCGCCTATAGCTCATTGTGTGTGAGCGAGTGCGGCATGGTGTGTGGGCAGCCTGCGGGGCACTGGCCTCACCTCCTCACGCGCGGAGAGCCCAGCGGCGGCGGCGAGCTTCAGGTAGTCCAGCCTGCACTCGCACGCCTGCGCTGAGCACGCGCTCGCGCCGGCCACCAGCTGCAGCTTCGTGTCGGGCGCCGGCGGGTGGGCAGCGCAGTACCGGAGCTTGTGCTCCGGGTCGTCATGCAGCGGCACGGCGACCTTCACGATGTGCTGCTGGTAGCCGTTCGAGTCGGTCATCGTGAACAGCCGTCGATTCGGGTCGACTCGCTGGGGACGACGCCCTCTGCCTCTGCCAGGACCGTCGACTCTCGTTCGGCGACGCGAGCCTCGCGCCACGGTCGCCGGCTCGGCCGTGTCGCCGCCGGTGAGGTCGGCCGTCTCGAGGGCTGCCAGGCCGCGCGCGAGAGCCGTCGGGCCGCGGTGCCTCGGCGTATCATCCATCGAGAACTGTCTGTGACCACTTGCGGAGAGCCGAAGTGAGATGCTGTTCCCAGTTGGCTATTAGTATTCACAGGAGCTGCACGCCGTCATGGCGACTCTTCCCATCACTGCACGGCAGCGACGCGTCGCTGCACGTGCACTTCCCTTCCAACATCCAATCCGTCACCAACTTGCAGGCGCAGCCGAGCGAGGCTGTGTTTGCGGTGGCAGAAGTGGCAGAGGCGGTCTACGGCACGTCGCTCGTGCGAGAGAGGCTGCCTAATGCAAGCCGCACACTGGAGACGAAGGGAGTGCCTGAGGACTCCCAACTGATGGCAACGGTGGCGTGGCCGTCGAACAAGCCGCCAGCGATGCAGCCAGTTGTCACCTTCGATCAGCTCTTTACGTGGGTGGTCAACTCGATGCGCAAGGCGCACCTACCGACGGACAAGGAGGTGGTCCTCTCTCTCGCGGAGCACTCGGCGCTGCGCGTCAAGTCGCATCCGTTTGAGCAGTTTGCTCACCTGCTGCTCGTGGAGGTGTATGTAGGTTTGACGACTAATGCTTCAGCCCGGGGCGCTCCGCACCGCCGCGCCGATCGCCATCCCGCCACGCCCATCGGCCAAGTCCGGCCGGCATCTCATCGCCACATAGCCCGCGCCCACGCACGTCTTGCTTGGCGACCGCAGCTCGCGACGCCCACTGCGTGGGACAGTTTTCCGCGCGCTCAATGCCTTGCGCGCCCCTCGCGTGCAGGCATTCAGCGAGCCGCGCGCGAGGCTGAAGCACTGGCGGAGGCGACGGTGACGAGGTGTGTCGCGACTACTCGTAGTCGCTGGGGCCTGGTGCCGCTCTCACAGCTGCTCCTCGCCCGCCCCACCGACAGGGCTCTTTGGCAGATGGTGCGCGCGCCTCAGCGACACGCTCGCGGCTGCACCTCACCCCGCCTGCCGGCGTGACGGTGCACCCGGCGGCGTCGCGGGCTTGGGACACGGCTTGGACAGGCCGGCAAACTGCTCGTACCCTGTCCCTTGCGGTGGGGTTGCCGAGGTGCGCCGCCCACCTCTGCCTCCCCATCTCCCCCCTCAACGTGACGCCCGCCGCGCCCGTGCCCGCAGGTTGACCATCGGGGGGACACTGCGTCGGAGAGAGGCCCCGCTCGCGCGCGCAGCGGCAGCACCCGTGCAGCTCCGCGCTTGGGGCGTTGCGATTCGCCGGATGGCGACGTCTAAGAGGCACGCGGCGCCCTCTCTTAGCGCCACCGCCCGCCCTTCCCGCCCGCCGCACCCGGATCCTATTCACAGCGCCCCAAACACCGCCTTCAGGCCGATCTGCCGGCAAACTGGCGCCGGAATCTCGATCCTGGGGGTGGGAACTATCGACGCGACCGGCACGGCCGACGAGAGCGACGATATTCCCGGCGCGCGGCGCCCCCCAAAACCCCTCAATTCTAGCCCAGCCGTCCATCTGCGCGACACACATGTGACCGGATGGGCACCCCCGACACGGCAGCCTCTACGCGTAAGCTCGCGCCTCTCGTGCCCGGCGTCGCGCCTCGCTCAGAGGCGAGCGGCGGTGCCCCATGACGGCCCGCCCAGACCGCCCGCGAGAGCACAGCGCCGTCTTCAAAGCGACGTGTCTTATCCCTCTGCACCCGTCGCCTCCCACAGGTAGAGGACTATCGGAAGGAACGTTCGGGGGAGAGAGCCGCCGCTCGTGTGCCCTGCGTCACGATACCCTGGGAGGCGCCCTCCGAGAGCCCGGGGCCGCCCGGCAGGGCCGAGCTCGAAGGCGCGCGGCGGCCCCCCCAACGCCGCGAGCCCCGCCCCCACCGCCCGCCGCGCCCGCGCCATCAGGCCGACCACGGAGAGGACTCCGCGCGGGAGAGAGGCGCAGCCCTCCCGCCCTCCCCCCCCCGTTCACGAGCCTCGGCCGCCGCACGGCCGCCCACGCCCCCGCGACAACGCCCCCCGACTCGGCCCGCACCGCGAGCCCCACCCCCGCCAGCAACCCAGACCACACCGCCGCCAACCGCCGCAGGAGCGGCCCGACCACCGCCAGCCAGCGGCGACGGACGCCCCGACCCGAAGGGCTAAGAGGCCCCCACCGGCACCCGCAGCGGCAACGCGGCTGCGCACGGGATCCGAGGGGTGAAGGCTCCGCGGCGTCGAGCCAGAGGGGCTGTCGTGCGGCTTTTTCCGCGCGGAACGCGGCCCCCGGCAGCCCGAACACGCGTGCAGCAGAGGGGTCCGGGACCACTTTTGGCGCAGTGTGGGGCGGGGGGTAGGGGGTGAGGGTGGGAACGGGGGCTCTGTCGTTTCGGTCCAGGCCCCGTACGGCCCGGCCGCGCCGTTTTTACGGCCCCCCAAAAGACCCACAGGGCGTTAAGATCGAAAGTACACATCGAGGTGGCTGAGAACCCCCACAGTGTGAGAGGTCGGCAGCCCGAGCGCCGTCGACCGCACCGACTACGGCACAGCCTCCGGCAGCGCCCGGGGCTTCGTCGCCAGCACCACTCGCAACAGCTCTCGCGCGCCGCCGTCTGTGGCGACGCGCAGAACATCAACAACGCTGCTCGCAACAACATGCGTGTCGCGCACTCATTCATGACCGGTCTCAATGCCCCACCCCCCTGCGCGCGGGCCTTCTAGGCCCGCGGGTAGTCTCCCCCCATCCCCAGGGCCTCCAGGGCTCGCACCTCAACCTCTCACAGACCAGCGCATAGCGCCATAGGACGTATTTTCTTCTCAAAACAAGGCCACCGGAGCCGCCTATGCTACTCCTGCGAGGAAGGCGAGGCACTTAGGTCCGTGACCGAAACACAAACATCGACGACACGCAATCTCAGGAATGCTGCTGCCCCTGCCCCTTCGCCGTCGGGGGGTTGATGGAAAAGATCAGCGAGACCTCGAGAGAGTAGTACCGAAGGCGCTCTTTTTGATCGAGCCGTGTGAGAGCCCTAGGTGTTGAATACCTCGCGGAGCGCAGAAAAATTCAGGAAAATACGTATTCAAGGCCAGAAATCTTGAATTCATGAATACAACCCTTGTATTCCAAGAAAAAAGAATTTCCGCGCGTCGAGCGCTGCGACTCGGACTCGGAGGAGAACAACTCGGACAACGAGGAGGACCTGATGGTCTAGTGGCCGCCCTCTGCCCGCGCTCCGCGCGCGCTAGCGCGCTCCGCGCGCTCTCCGCGCCGCGCGCTCGCTGCGCGCTTCCGCGCGCTTCCGCGCGCTCCGCGCCTGCACAACTAGCTAGAGGTGCTCCGCGGCGCTCCGCGCCGCATGTATTCCGTATGTGTTCCGGCGCTGCGCGCCTTTTTGAATACAGTCTTCAGGCTCCTGGGAGACCTCTCTGTGAATTCATGTATTTGTATTCAACACCTAGGGTGAGAGCTCCGTCGGTGGAGCTGCACTCAACCCCCCCTCGCGCTCAGGTTTTTGTGTTCGTGAGTCCAGGTTTTTCCGCTCCCTCTCGCGCTCGCCCCGCCGCACCACGCCACCAATGGGCGCCGCGAGCTGCACGCCCAGTACCCCCGCGACGCCTGCTGCTCGCAAACCCGCCGCTCCCGCACCGCTCCCGCCATACGAGCCGTCGCCCGCGCGCTCGCAGATCCAAAACAACGTGGGCGAAGGGGATCGCCGCGGCCTCTTGCGTGCTGGGCCTCAAGCTGCGTCCGCTGTGAGTAGGTGCGGCCCTCTTGACCCCCCTTCCCCCCGAGCCCCCCTTTCTCTTCCCTCTTGATGGCCCGGCGAGTGCTGCAATCAGAGAGAGCACTCTTGCAATCAGCGAGGGAGATTACCCGGGATATCTTCCCCCGATCCTTCCCTCGCAGGTGCATCGACGCTGCTCGTGAGCGCCTGCGCCCCTCCACTCGTAGCATACACCTCTCCACCGACAGCACAAACACACACCCCCCCCGTCGTGGCGGAGCGGTCGTCGGAGGCGCCGAGAGCATGTACCGCGACGCGATCCGGCACGTCGCCGCGATGATGATCATCACCATCGTCATCATCGTCATCATCGTCATCGTCACCACCACCACCAGCAGCATCAGCATCAGCATCACGTACATCATCAACATGCTGCTCTTGTGCCTCCGGACACGCCGTTCGGCCCTCTGCGAGCAAAGCTCTAGCTGTCTGCAGGCCGCCCTCGCCACCCCTCCCCAATCTTGCTGCACCTCCCGCGTCCTGGCCGGCCGACACGCGAAAGCGCCTGCTCAGCATCGGGCGTGCGCGAGCCCTTCCCGCCTGCCTCCACACATCTCCGGCCCGATGCCCGTTGAGGCCTGACTTGATCTTTTGCCGGGCACAGGCGATCGCCATCCGACCCATGATTACTTTGGAGCCTCCATAAAAGCCTGCGGCCCTGCGGATACCCTGGAGCCCGGGGGCCAACTCTTTGCCGAAGGTGATACCTTGA